GAGACGGGGTCTCGCTCTTGCTCAGGCTGGTCTCGAACTCCTGAGCTCAAAGGATCCACCCGCCTCGGCCTCCCAGAGTGCTAGGATTACAGGCATGAGCCACCGCGCCCAGCCTATATTTCTATTTTATGTGGAGGTAGGAGTGTAGTAGCTGGACAACAGACACTTAGTGCAATTTTTCACATGTAACTCAGCTATTAATAGATTCTAGATTTCCTAATTGGTTTAGAACAATGTTTTTCGGTAGAGAGTGTGGGGAGACAAAGGGGTGCAGTTATTGGCATTTGGATTAAGACTTTTTTTTTATCATGTTGGACTGCCCTCAGTAGAGCCCCCAAATCACTGTGACAACCAGATGCTATACCCACACGTTCCAAATGTTCCCTTGAGGGGTTGGTATTCTCCCCCTACCCAATAGAACTACACTAGTTTATATAGAGGATAGAACAAATAAGCATTCTTTTTTTTTTGTCCTGAGACAGGATCATGCTCTGTTGTCCAGGTTGGTATGCCATGGCATGATCATAGCTCACTGCAGCCTTGAATACCTGGGCTTAAGCGATCCTCCTGCCTTGGCCTCCTGAGTAGATAGGACTACAGGTGCATGCCACCATGCCCAGCTAGTTTTTAAAATTTTCTGTATAGTCAGTATTTCACTATGTTGCCCAGACTGGTCTCGAACTCCTAGCTTCAAGTGATCCTGCCACCTTGGCCTCCCCAAAGTGCTGGAATTACAGGCATGACCCACTGTGCCTGGTCCAAATTCTTTTAAATTTATTGAGACTTGTTTTATGGCTAAGAAAGTGGTTCCACGTCATCATCACCATCCATCTTTGTAAATGTTCTTTGTTCACATGAAAAGAATATGTATTCCGCTGTTGTTGGGAATATCTTATAAATGTGTCATTCAGTTCAAGTTGGTTGATAGTGTTGTTTGAGTCTTCTAAATCCTCATTGATTTTCTGTCTACTTGTTCTATGAATTATTGAGAGAGGGGTGTTGAAATCAATCTACAAATACAAGGTAGATTTGTCTGTTTCTCTTTGCAGTTTTATTAGTTTTACAGCATGTATTTTAAGGTGCTATTATTAGAGATACAAACATTTAGGATTGTTATATTTTCTTGATGAAATAGGTTTCTTTATCATTGTAAAATGACCCTCTTTATCTCAAGAAATATTCTTGGTTTTACAGTTGAGTTTGTTTGATATTAATGTAACCTCTCTTGCTTTCTTTTGATTAATGTTAGCATGGTATACCTTGTCCTTTTTTAACTTATTCGTGTTTTTATATTTAACATATACTCTTTTTAGGCAAGTGATAGGTCTTGCTATTGTTACTTTCACACATTTATAGCATGCTTACTGATTACATTACATAAAATTCACCATTTTAAAGTGCATATTTCAGTGTTTTTTAGCATATTCATCACTATTTTGCACAACCATCACACTGTCAAATTCCAGAACACTTGTATTACCCCCGAAAGTAAACCCCATACCCATTATCAGTTAGTCCCAATTTCCCCCTCCTCCCATTCCTTGGCAGGCACTAATCTACTTTCTGTTTCTATGAATTTGCCTATGCTGGACAAATCACATAATATGTGGCCTTTCGTGCATGGCTTCTTTCGCTTAGCACATAGTATTTTCAGGGTTCATCCATGTCGAACAAGTGAAAGTGCCTCAGTCCCTTTTGTGGCTGAATAATACGCCAATGTATGGATATGGCCCTATAGGGCCATGTCCACTTTTATTTGTATATTCCACTACATTTAATACACTTTTTATGCTCAATAACTTTGTTGAATGAAAATGACTGTTAAGGAATAAATAATTACACAGTTTGACTTTGTATGGAATGGAATATTAAGAATATTATATCTTTTTTTTCTATTTCTAGTGGTATGCAATCTGCATTAGCGATGTTGGAGATTATGAAGGCATCAAGGTTAAAATTGCAAATGCATACATTATCAAGGAACATTTTGAGGTACTGATGAATTATTAAAGTTTGTGAATTTAAAATGTCAATATTTTTCAGAATAGATTTTTGTTTCAGATATCTATTACTGTATATCAAGCCACCTATAACTTAGTGACCTAGAGCAGTGATACTTTATTATTTCTTACAATTGTGTGGGTTAACTGAATGCAGTGGTGCTTTTGCTTTGCTTGGTATAGCTGAGGTGACTTAGCTGCATTCACCAGGGCCCTCAACTGAGACTGGAATGTCCAAGATGCCTCTCATCTACAAGAGTTTTTCCCCACTGGTCTTTTCATCATTTAGTGGTCTAGTCCAAGCCACTAAGCATGGTAGCTAGCTTCCAAGAATGAGTGTTCCAAGGGAAAAGTTCCAGTGTACACAAACTTTTATCAAGCCCCTATTGACCTAAAGTTATATGGCCAAGCCTACTTTCCATGGGAGCAAGATCAGTGACAAAGGTCCTGAATACTGGAAAGCATGGTACAATGTAACAGTCTAATACAACTGCCATTGTACTCTCAATAGTAATAATTCTATTTAAGATTTATGATCTCTCAGTATGTGTTATGTATGTGTATATATGTGTTTTAGTATTCCCCCCTAAAGTTAATTTACTTATTTATAGTAAGCTCTCCTCTATTAGGTGCTAAGAGTTCTATAGCATGCATGGACACTGCTCTACTATCCTCAAAAAATAAAACCTACCACAAAAAACAGCATATTTATTTTTCTTTTGATATTGTAGACCATCTCAAAAATACGAAGGAAGAAAAAGTGATGGAAACATACATAGGGATAGAGCTGGATATACTATATAAATAGCTTTTCATAATTTTATGGTTATAGTCTCAATTCCTAGTTTATATAACTAGTGAAAAAGAACACTGGACTGGGATTCAGGAGACCTAGACTTTCTTGTTCAGGCATTGATAGTAATATATATACATTTAATAATTTACATTTTACAATTTGATAATTTACATGTTTCAGAGTTTAAGGTCTTTGAAATCAGATTACATTATGTAATCAGTGGTACCTTACAGCATAATTGGCAGCATTTTTTTCTTTCTTAGTGGCACATAAAGTAATGTTGTGTCATAACATTTTTTGGTATCTTAGATTCCATGAAATATAGTAATTTGCTCAGTGGCATTAGATAAATCGCCTAATTACTGTGTACCTCAGGATATAGAAATACATAATTTCCAATATGAATAATAAAAAATTAGTCCGGGTGTGGTGGCTCACGCCCATAATCCCAGAACTTTATGAAGCTAAGGTGGAAGAATCACTTGAGGCCAGGAGTTGGAAAGAAGCCTGAGCTACCTGGCGAGACCCATCTCTACAAAAAGTAGAAAAATTAGGCCGGAGGATCGCTTGAGCCCAGGAGTTTGAGGTTGCATTGAGCTATGACGACAATACTGCACTCTATGCAGGGCAACAGAGCGAGAGCCTATCTCAAAAAAGAAAAATA